TATACAATACTATTCATGATCCATCAGCTGGTGAATGAAAGAACAGTATATGGAATCTATATAACAAAATTTTGCTCCTCAAAAATCAAACAGTGAAGCTCAAAACTAAAAATAGAGTAAGAGTTAGCTATACTACTCTTGGGTAGATGCCCAAAGCAATCTCAACCGATAGACCACAGGGATGTTTGCACATCCATGCTTATATTCACAATAGCCAGGAAAAAGAGCCAGCCTAGAAGTTCATTAACAAATGAATGGATAAAGAAAATATGGTTTATGTACACAGTGGAATTTTGTTCAGCCATAAAAAGTGGACTGAACTGAAGCAAACTATGCTTAATGAAATAAGCCAGACTCAGAAATCAAAGTGTCCCTAGTTTCTTTTCTCTTGCTCTAATAACTTACCCCAAACAAAAGCAATTTAGAGGAGAAAGGGTTCGTTTAGCTTATAAATCCAGCTGGTAGTACATTATTATGGGGAAGTCAAGGCAGGAAGTTAAAGCAAAACCTCCACAGGTAAGAACAGAAAGGGTAAGCACATGGATCCTTTCTTGTTCTCAGCTCCTTTTTCTTCTCTTGCACTGTTCAGAATCCCCTGCCTAGGGATTGGTGCCACCCTCAATGACCTGGATCTCCCCACATCAATTAACAATCAAAACAACTATCAAAAATCAACATAAGATCGATAGATATTCCTATGTTGATCAAGTTAACAGTTGAAATGAACCAGTAAAGACAAGTATCACATTTCATTTCATATGCAGAATACACACGCCCGTGTGCACACATGCACACGCACACGCACACACACAAATATATGTATGTGACTTGAAGGTAGATTTGTTTGTAGGGAGAGAAAGGGTTCTAAATGGATATCTAAGGAGGAAACAAACGAAGGTAATGGAGGAAGATAAATACTGCATGTTTGTGCTCATACACAGAATATATAGGGAAGGAAATGAGCAAAATACAATTATATATATATATGTATATATATGTAATTATATATATTATGTATATAATATATATAATCATAATCAAGGTCTGCATTTGCTACATCTCAATCTGTGGTACAAAAGTGAGATGATAATATGTCACTTAAGTTAGGTGGTGGGCTCCTGGGTGCAAAGCAGATTTTATTATAATTCTCCAAAATTGCGCTTTGTTGTTCTTTGTGGATAAAATGTCAATCATTCTAAAAATATTTTTAGAAACCTGAGTGACTTCACTTCTGACTCTACCACTTATCAATTATGAGTTCTTGGGCACATTACTCAACCTAAGCCTGCCAGCAACTTATCTGTAAGCAGAGATGGTAATAATAGTAACTTCCTCATAGCCTCTTAGAACTGCATGCCCAGTATATTTTCAATGCTATTATTAGCTAACCTTCCTTAAAGCAATTGAACAACTTGCATTAAAATGTCTATGCTAATATCCACTCTTTTTAAAAATATATTTTCTCTTTTTAATTTACTTATGATGATGATGGTTTATGAGTGCGTGTGTGTAACAGAGAGAGAGTGAGTGAGAGAGAGAGAGAGAGATGTATGCATGAGTGAATATGGGTACAAGGTCAGAGGATAACTTTTGATAGTTAGTTCTCTCCTTCCCCTGTGGTATTAGGATTCAGGGACTGAATTCAGATTGTTAGGTCTCTGTGGCAAGCACCATTACCTTCTGAGCTAACTCACTAGTCCAACAAAGCATTGCCAATGCAAACTCATGTCTATGGTAACCTTGTTTTGTTATTGTTATTGTTGTTTGTTTGTCTGTTTTTGTTGGGTGTTTTGAGGAAGTAGTAGAAAAGAAATTAGAACATCTTGATTTTATTCTTCCTTGTGGCTGAAAATATTCCTTTGTGTATAAATGCCACATTTTGATTGCCCATTCAATTCACTGATGGGCACCTGGATCTTGTGAATATTACTATGATAAGCATGTGTATGCAGGTGTCTTTATTGTATACTGGCCTTGATTCTTTTGAATACATAGTAAAAGGAGGGGTACTGTTTTTTTAATTTAAATTGTAATTTTAAAAGGAAATTTCATACTGATTTCCATAGTTAAAATGTCTGCTACTTCTGAGGGATGATATCAACTAATTTTCTAAGCTGGCTCTGGGATTTCAAATCTAGGATACATCAAAGCATCTTTCTCATCTTGAGCTGTGTCCAGAACCTATGTCTGTTCTGAATCCAATCTGCAAAAAGAAGGGTAATATTATTGTCCCACCTGAGTTTTTTACGTATGATTCCAGTTATCAAACTTCATCTTCCACCTTTAATCCATTTCTGATCCAGATAAAATATTTTTGGTGAATGTGTCAAAGATGGGTACTCAGAATATAAAGAATTGTTGAAGAGATCTGTCACTCATCTAGCCTTTTGAAGAAGACTTACTTTCTCATCTGGTGTGTGTGTGTGTGTGTGTGTGTGTGTGTGTGTGTGTGTGTGTGTGTGTGTGTGTGTGTGTGTGTGCGCCCGCGCATGCGCACACATGTGAGTTTAAGTATGCATGCCCGTATAGATGTGGAAACCAGAGATCAATGCCAGATGCCTTTCAAAAATCACCATTCAATCTGAAGGTCACGTTCATGTAGACTAGCTAGCCATTAGCTGCAGGAATTTGCCTGCCTCTGGTCTCCCAGCTCTGGCCTTACAGATAGGCACATCCATGCCTGCCCTCATTTTTTTTTCACATAGATGGGTGCTAGAGATCCCAACTCAGCTACATTTATATTTGAGTGGGAAAGATTTCACCCATTAAGACACCTTCCCAGCCCTGTAAAGATTTATTCTGCTGGGAGATACCAACCATTTTTTTGAAAACTCAAATTCAATTATATTCATGCAAATTATTAAAGGAAGTGTCACACAGCTCATAATAAGTGTTGGCTAAGTTCATTCCTTACCACCGCCTGCTGTTTATCCATTTGACTTCTTGAGACTTGTATCAATCAGTACCTCAAAAGTAGCAGGGTGTGGAGGAAATATTAATTAAATAGAGAGTAGAAGAAAATATAAAGGACCAGTGGCACACAAAGCCTGGGGAAAACTGGATACGGCCATGTCAAAGAATGTGACTACTTCCATATCTCTCACGCGGCCCAAACATAAATTTAGTCATTGACCAAAGACTCCAGTGCAAGTTGAGGAACTTTGAAATTACTAGGAGGAAACTCTGAAATGTAGTATAGGCAAGCACTTTCTGAGAAGAACTCCTGTGCCAGGAAATCAAGCGAGAATTGGCATATGCCCCTCCAGAGATGTTATTTAAAAAGAAAACAAACAAAGAAAAAAAAAAGCCTTCCACACGGCAAACAAAACAACTGAACAAAAGGACGGCCCATGGAATGGGAGAGAAATGTTCTCCAGAATGTTAAAGAAAAACCCAGAAACCCCAGCGTTACCCTAACACTCATGTCTTTTCCTTTTTTGCCTTTGTCTTCCTGCTACTGGCTAGAACCTGAGCACACTCTCTCTGGTACTTGAGTTATTTTCACTCTCTTCCTGATGCTCCCCTCCCTGCCATGAGTCTGCATGTTTGCCACCTGGCTGACCTCCATGCTGGCTTGGCTCTCCCTCTCCCTTCTCCAACTCCCTCCTCTCTGCAGCTGCTGAGTTTACAGCTCGTCTGTCCTGGGAGTTTTCTTTTTGACGCTATGACAAGTCTCTTCAAAAACTAGAAAACTCATTAAATTTAGCCAAAGAAGAAATAACAAAAAATAAATAAATGATCAAATCATCTGAGTAAACCCTTCCCCAAAGGAGAGGCACAGATGGCAAATATATGGGGGGGGGGAATCCCATATTCAGTCGTCAGGAAGATGCAAATCAAAAGTGTATTGGGATTCCCATCCCACCCTGAGTCAGATGGTTCTCATTCAGAAAGCAACAACCAATGCTGGCAGATGCATGTAAAAGAAACTGTGTTATCCATGGCTTATGGGAATATATCTTAGTCTAGCCATTACACAGAGTAGAAATTCCTCAAAACCCTGAAAAAAAAAAACCACCAGCTATATAACCCATTTGTATATAATTGAAGAACTGAAGGAAGCATACAGCAGAGCTATCTGCACACCCATGTAGTTTATGTGCACTGTGTGAGTGTCAGTACCTTTATATATCTTTCCACGTATAACGGACTATTACTCAGTCATAAAGAAGTGAATGCTGTTTACATAAAGTAGATGGAAATAAAGGTTATCATGCTAAACAAAATAAATTTAGTACAGAGACACAACAATTGCACACTTTTCTCATATTCAGGGACTAGAAATACCAAGAGGTGTGTGTGGCTGAGAGGGCGAGGCAGTTGGACTGCCAAGAACTTGGTGCAAGCCTGAACTATGGACTGATCTGATCCTAATTCAAAACAAATCAGATATCAATCTGAATATAGTAAACCGACTACCTGTGACTCAACGAGGAAGAAGAGAAGAATGGATATAATCCAATCCTATATGTAGACGTGTCACAGTGAAACCCAATAATATGTGCAATTAGCATATGTTGATCACAATGTAAACAATAATACTTAGTATATGTAGGGTTAACCCATTAATGTTAAATGGAATTTTACTTGAGCAAAGTCTTGCCTGAGTTTACCTCCACCCTAACCCTAATCCCCCTAACTTATTATATTGCAAAGTTCCCAGCAGCCTCTGACAAACCTCTTGAAAAAAAAAAAAAAAAAAAAACATGTCCACAGTGTTTCCCTTGAGAACTGCATTTCTCTCCCAAAGGTGTGACCCTCTCCTGCTGGATCACTACTACTATGCTCATCAGTGTTTTTACAAGCTTGCTTACAGTGTGTACTCAATAAACTATTTGTTGCATTGGTGTATGACCAAGCCACAGCACAACGACTTCAGTCTTAGCCTGTAGAACACAGATAATAAAGAGTTGTATTGGAGACCTTGGATCTCCAGAAGAAGTCCTCCTACACAAGGATCTCTGCAGAACAGCTGAGCTGGGGAAAAGGCAGGACATTACCTGTGCTGGGTGAGCACGTTGACAGCTGAAGGATGATTCGCACAGTAAGCCAGGTACATCGATTTAAAATGAGGCATGAGGTTCAGTAGACAGCCTCCCACCTTGTGCTGATTTTCTGGAAACCTGTGAAACATGTGAAGCACAGATTGTAAACTCAGAACCAGAAGGTAAGGATACTTGCAATTGAACACAGGAGCAGGTACATCTTTTGATGTATTCCTATGGGGTTATTTATTTATCTAGTTTTAGGAACAATGGAGGCACTTTATCCCTGGAATGCAGTCTTGATCACTGACTAAAACTCTAGCCACCTGGCTGGAGAGATGCCCTGATGGGTGAAAGCATTGACTGCCCTCCTAGTGGCCCAAGGTTGAATTCCCAGCACCCATATGATGGCTTATAGCCATCTATAACTCATGCATGTGGTGCACAGACATATGCAGGTAAAGCACATTAAATAAATCAAATTTAAAAATAAATTCTAGCCACCAAGAAAATTCTGGTGTAGAGGATAAGATTTTTATGTGGGAATTAAGTAGGGCTGTTTGTTTCTAGGATGATTATATTCAAATTTCTCTTGACAAACCAATGATATTCAAATTCACACCATAATCATGCCAGACAAAAGTGATTGAATTTAACAGCATAGCACATCTTGCATAAAGTTTCATCCCATGGAGCTCAGAAAGTCACCAGTTTTTTCCAAGATACACTGGAAAATTAATTTTACACCAGAAGTACCCTGTCAGAAGATCATGCCAGGGAACTTGGCAATATAATGTTTACTAATGCAGCAATCAAGTAGCCATCACAACCATGCTGAGGGGGTTGGAGAGATTGTTCAGTGGTGAAGATCACTGGCTTCTATTCTAGAGGACCTGAGTTCAGTTCTTAGCATCCTCCCACATTGAGGTCCCACAACTCTCTGTAGCTCCAGTCTCAGGGGATCCCGCTCCCTCTCTCGGCTCCGAGCTCAGAGCTAGGCTCCGGCACACACATACATATTTCAGGGAAACACCCATATACATAAAATGTAAATAAATACATCTTTTTAAAAATCATGTTGTGATTTCACACAGGACATACACTTTTCCTTCTTCAATTTTGTATGTATTTCAAGTCAGACTATAACGTACACAATACCAGGAGTACCAGAAAGAAACACATTAGACATGGTGGTAAGTACTGTAATGCCAGAGGCATAGGTATGAAGATCTGATCTTCAAGACTCAGCTTGACTACATAGAGAGCTTGAAGCCATCTGGGACTGAAGAGATTTGGGTTGGGCTTGGGCAAAGTGAGGACCAGGGATGTAGTTCAGTAGTAGAGAGTCTGCCTAGAGTACATAAGGCCTCAATCCAAGAAGCCAGAAACAGGGGTGGAGTACGAAATGATTTAAATGACTTTTCCAAGTAACCTTAAGCACATAAAATAAAAATATTGTATCAACATCAGATCTGTTTGTTAACATTAGTGCTGCAGAGATGGCTCGGCAGTTGAACATACTTACAGCTCTTCTAGAGGACCAGAGTTCAGTTGCAAGCACACATGGTGGCTCATAACTATCTATATATAACTCTAGCTCCAAGGGAGCCAACGCTGTCTTCTGACCTGGTGTATATACATACATGAAGGCAAACATTCATACAAATTAAATAAATGAGATTTAAAATTAAAGCAAGAAACTGTTTACTGGGGGGGAGGTTAGGGTGATTTGGCACTAAATATAACCACTGTCTATGTAGGGTGGTTCATCTCTATGTTTTTGCTTTGCTCTGGGACAATGGCTTGAAATTGCAGCAGATACATAAACATAAAGTGTCCTTGTGCCTGACTTAAGGTTGTAACTCCAATACGTGGGAGGTGAAGGTGGGAGTATCAGAAGTTCAAAGTCAGCCTCTACTATATAGGTAGTACAAAACCAGTCTGCTCTATGTGATACACTGTCTCAAATTAATTTTTAAGTGTAGAAGAAAGAGCAAAGTCACTGTGTCACTTACTTTGAACATTCTTCCAGGGCTTGGCAGAGGGTCTGTTGAAATGTGCATACTTCTTCAAAGTTTCCCAATAAACATGTAAACTCCACAGTAGTAAGGCTGAATTTAAAAAAAAAAAAATGAGAACATAATGTTCGAGTTAACAGAATGGAAAGATGTGTCCGGTATCTAGTTGGAGGTCAGTTGGCCAATAGCTTGATGATAGCTGGCAAGTATGAAAGTCAAAGTGCTTGTATTGGAACTTCTGCTTTTTTAACTAATGACAACACTATGGCCTCTGGTACCCCCATTTAGCTTCCTCCTTGGTTTATCTTTTCTAAGGTAAGAATAATGATAGCAAAGAAAGTTGGTTGTTAAAGCTATGAGGAAAACTATATTTCTTAATATTAAAGTATAAAAATAAATAAAAGTACAATATGATTGGGAGTAAGTTACAAATCTATGGCATATCTCTTCTAGGGAAAATGGGAACGTGATTAAAATATTTATGTCCAACAAACACAGAGAGGAAAAGGTAGCAAAATTAGCTTCCTCTACAATGAAAATAACAACTAAAACATTCTTCATGAAAGAGAACAGAGAGGAGCAAATAAAGCTGAATTTTGTTATTGTCATTTGTGGGATGGAATGGAGTCAAACAGAATGGTTGTATGCAGGGCATCTACGTGAGGAATATTCCCGTTCATTTTTCCCTTACCAAACAGTAAGTGATACTAAGAACAGGAGCCAACCCTCACAGGGCACGAACGTCAAGCAAACACTTTCCAAACAAGAGCTTCAGCTGCTCTGTGAGCTAAGCACATGGCCACTTACAGGCTAAGTGCCATTTTACAGGCTCAAAGACACAGGCACAGAGAAGGTAGTAAGCAAATCCACCAGACCTCAAAGAGCAATAGATAGCAAAGAACGGCTTACACTAAGCCTTCTAACCCTAGAAAGCACACTCGGAAGCACTTGTCTGAAGATGCACTGGAGAAGTGGATGTGCCATACTTTCTTCTTCAAAATACACTATCTTGGGGCTGCAGACAGGGCTCAGAAGTTAAGAGCGCTTGCCGCTCTGTCAGGGGACCCAAGTTCAGTTCCCAGCACCCACATTGGAGCTGTTCACAACTGCCTTCTAATTCTAGCTCCAGGGATCTGATGCCCTTTTCTGGCCTCCTACATACACATGGCATACACTCACGCAGACATATACATAATTAAAAATAAAAAAAGTCAATCCTTTAAAAGAACAAATTAAAAATAAAAAAAGTCAATCCTTTAAAAGAAGAAATTATCAGTTCTAAACCCACATACATATAAGCAACACTAAATGGGTTCAGGGAGACAGAGAGGCATTGGAAGGGGGAGAGGAAGGAGCAGAAATGGTGTAAATACAGTCCTCATGGAAGAAGCCCTCACAAATATAAAGAATTAAATAAAAAAAATACAGATGTGGTAAGGCAAATGTGTCATTCCAGCCCTTGGGAGGTAGATTTTACAGGGTCAGGTGTCCAAGCGAGGTAGATTTAAGAGGGCCGGGTGTTCAAGCCTGAAGCTAGCACTAAGCTACATGAGAGACGCTGTCTCAAAAAATTTAAAAGCATATATGTGTGTGTGTGTGTGTGTGTGTGTCATAGCTAATTCCTAGGGGAATATTGGCAAAGGAGCTTTGCTAACTAATCAAGAAGAGAAGATCCCAGTAAACATTCCCAGTAACCCTCAGGACATCAAAAGCATCCAGCTCCTCTGCTGTTATGCCCTCTTGAACTGGAAACTGGAAACCCCCACCTCCTGTTGTCAGGAGACTCTGGCAGCCAGCCAGTTTCTCTGGTTACTTCTCTGTCAGAGCCACAGCAAGCAGGGCCCCTGAACTTTCTGCAACCTGCCCAAGAATGTATCTAGCCTCTTAGCCGTCAGACAGTAAATAGTTTGGCTTGCTCAATTCATTGTGGGGTGAACGCTTGGAAACACTGTCACTCTAGCATGAGCATCAAAATGAAGGGAAGGGCTGGTCTGACCCGTCTCACACCTCCTCTCCAGGTTAGTTTCAGGGTTGTAAGTCTGCTTCTTCCTTATTGGAAGCCTTACCATGCCCCCATTCCGATGGTTAGTTCTGGTACCCCTCTTCTAGCAGGTACCAGAAAACAGAAGGTACATTTCAGATAGACATGGTCACTTTCAGCTGTGTGACAGGCAAAGCAGTGAGCCTGTCCAGACTTTAGTTTCTTATCTACTCATTGCAGACAGTCAGTTCTCCCAGAAAACTAGAAAAGATGGTGTGCTGTATTCCTACATAACTCTATAAACTATGATTCACATAACACTTCACATTTCACATAATAAAAACCAAACACAGGAATATAAATCGCTTCCATATGAAGCATGCTTCCCACGGTACCATGAGGATAGTTCTATCAAAAAGTCAGCATGACATTTGGCTTGAACAACATAATTTGGGGAGGGGAAAAAGGGAGAAAAATAGTTAACTACCTTAAACTCACTTAAGCCTGGAGTTGGTAGTTTAGACACAAATTCACTTTTTCCTGAGATAAGGGGATTTTGTCTTCTACTGTGTGAGTCAAAGTTTCTATTTTACTTAAAGATTATGATTGCTAGTGAAATTTAATCAAAGTAACAAAGAAGGATGACCATTATTTGTTAAATGTGTTAGCCCCATGAACACAAACAATAAATGATCAGTATTTTTAAATGTTTTAATTAAAATATAATTATGTAATTTCTCCCTTTTCTTTCCTCCCTCTAGCTGCCCCCCAAATACCTCTTAGATTGATGGTCTCTTTCATTATTAGTGTTAACAAACATTTTTCTTTCAGTCTTCAGCTCACACTTTAGAAAATAAGTTTTGTACATTTTGCTTTTAAAATGACATCTCATTATCATCGCCATGCATCACAATGAAACACGGGCTTGAATTGTACTCTTCTAACCCCTTGTAAATTACCATCCCCTCTCCACTTTGGGAGCATAGGAAAGAGGTCTGCTCTGGTAATAGAAAGTCAGAGCAGGCATGAGAATTTCCAGCGTTTGATTTATGAATAAAAGTACCAAGGAGTCCATTTTCTGTATGGTACAGCTGGACCCATTACACTGGAGAGCTGGGCATTGGTGGCACATGCCTTTACTCCCAGCACTCGGAAGACAGAAGTAGGCAGATTTCTGTGAGTCCGAGGTCAACCTGGTCTCCAGAGATATTTCCAGGGCAGGCTCCAAAACAATATGGAGAAACGCTGTCTTGAAACACCAAAACAAAATAAAGTAAAATGCACTGGAAATGTGAAAGCTAGAAAGAAGATCCCATGCACCTGCATGCACTTTGGGGTATGTTACCGCACTAGTGACAGCTAAGCAACAGGACCAACCCAGGTGTCCAGCACTAAAGGACTGCATGAGGGAAATGTGTTGTCTATGTACAAGAAAATTTGTTTAGCTATAAAGAAGAATGAAGTCATGTTACTTGCAGGAAAATGGATGTAAAAAAAATTATATTAAACAAATGAAGCCAGTCTCAGAAAGGCAAATATCAGGTGTTGCTTCTCATTCTCATTTATTATATGGAAACATAAAATTGTGTGTGTGTGTAAAAACAGTAGAAGTAAAACTGTGCATGGGAACAAAGAAGAGTAATACGAGGGGTAGGGCAGGAAATAAGATGGCAAGGGAGGGGGAAGATGCTTAATATATGAAGTATGTTCTTGTAAATTTCAGAGAAACGGAGAGTAGACGAGTAGTTAGCAAGAAGTGTGAGAGTATAAGGAGGGTGGGATGGAGAAAGGACAGTAGGTTTCTAGGGATGCCAAAAGTAATTGTATATTTCAAAATAACTGCTGGATAGGCTAATTACCCTGATCTGATATTATACATTGCAGAGGTGTACTGAAAAAATCACACCTCCATCCTATAAGCATGAATACTTGCTTAGTGTCAAGAATATTAAGTAGAAAAGAAGCAAAAAAAAAAAACCCCAATACAAAAATTGTCATGGGCAGAATCTCAGATCAGCTCATTCCTTCCACAGAAAACAAGCCAAGCTCTCCAAAAGCAACATCTTGCATAACCACCATTGCCCTGACCATGTGGCAACCTGTGATTTGTGGAAATTCTTTTAAAGAGCAAAATCAATTATTCAGTGACATAGGAGTAATGCCTCCAAGTGCTGACATTATCTTGCTGTGTTTTACTAAGGGTTTAAAGAGTCTTACTTGTTATTAGACTGCAAGGGTCTTAGGTAAGTAACAAGAAGAGACTGCAGTTCTTTGGCATATTCTTTTTCAGTATCCAAGATGTTCTGCAACACCTGTAGAGAAACAAGAATTAAGGTAAGTCCATGGTCAGAACTTTAGATCTTCTCATCAAACTCCTAGAAAAAAGCATCCCATTATACTTAGGCTGGTGCTAGATGTCACAATACAAAAGTACAACTGTACTTTAGTTAACACTAGAAAAATATTTTAATAATTGTCTGACAACTAGGTATATGATGTAACTAAAATGAACGCAACTATTATGAGTCACCCACAAATGGAGGATCCTAATACTTGCATGGTACTGGTCACAATTTTTCTGCTTTACATAATTTTATCAAGGGAAAGGCTACGTTAGCTATGAATGGCTTACTACTCCCATTTTATGAATGATAAAGTTATAAAACATAGAGATTCAAGACTAGAATTCAAGGATAATTATGACACAAAACACCAAGAATTTGGTTTGCATATTGTTTCTGATAAGACATTTATGGAACAAAATCATAGTGTATAGTACATTCTTAAGCAGTGTTAAAACTGGCCTTTCAGTACAAAGGATGCTCATATGAAGAATTCAAATAGAAAAGAGACAGCACTGTGAAAAATTTAATGAGGAGAACAATTAAATAATTATCTGTTATTAATAACACAAAAGTCTTTTTTCTGCTTGGTTTGAGATGAAGTCTCACTCTAGTCCAGAATGGCTTGGAAGTCACAAAGCAGCCCAAAGCGTCCTCAAACTCACCATAATCCACATGCTTCCACAGTGTTAAAATTACATTATCTGTGTAAGCCACCACAACTAGTTAGTACTAGAGTCTATAGGCACAATAAACAGCTTATGAGAAGTCAAGTTCTCTTTCCCCACAAGTACTAAGGCCAGCCTCCATTTCCCAGCCTGTTCTGGAAGCAGATAAAACCTTCCTTTCAAGCAGTTATATATTGCCAAGTTAATATTTTGATATTTTTCACATCTTCTAATTCATTGAAAAATCTGTCCTTTGTCAACAGCTATGCTGTTTACAAACAGAGAGCTTCCACCATATCTGAAGATGGAGACATTAAATAGGAACCCTCAAGACAGAGAGAAACACATGGCTAGGAGAAGAAGCACATTAGTCCAGCAAAATGGCAGAAACACACAGCTGACACTGTATGTCTGTGGCTCCCACATTTGCTAGATTCTAGAGGGTTTCCGTTTCCACAGGATTCAGCCAATTTCAGGCTGAAAACAGTTTTAAAATGTTTTCCCTTTTCCCTTATCATCATTTCTTAACTTATATAGTATAACACAAGACTCTAATCCCAGCTACCCTTGGGCCTGATGCAAGAGTACTGCAAGTTCGAGGCCAGCCAGAGCACGTTAATCAGATCAAGCCTCAGATTTAAAAAAAAAAAAAAGGGAAAACAAAAGCTGAAGGTATCACTCAGAGATAGAGCACTTGCCTTGGCATGTGTGGGGCCAGTTTCCAGAGTCACAAGTAATACTTAACAGTGTAAGTTATTCACATGGCACACATACACAGGCAGGTAGTGTAGAGACTACCTCAAGTGTAGGAGAGAATGACAAACGGTCATGTGCAGACACTAGACACACACACACACACACACACACACACACACACACACACACACACAAAACTTGAACAGCTGTGTCCAAGGAGGCCAATCCCTGCAAATACAAAAGAAAGACAGTACTCACAAGACAAAGCATGATGACTTGCTTTTGAAAAGTGGAGTGGCTGAAATAAGTAGGGCTCTCTGGTGAACAACTGAACCCGGGGATGGTAGTCCCAACTGTGCTATTGGCTTACAGGCTGTTTCAGTTTTAAGGCATAGCCTACCTCATCTCAGATTGTGACATTTCAGGAACCATTGTGAGGCAGCAGTGAGAGGTTGCACAGGTAGGTACTGGGCAAGTGACAAACACCTTAACCAATTTAAGAAAGTCTCTGTTGGGAGAGGAATGCCCTGTGTCTTGTGGGAAGTTAAGCAGCATCACTGTCCTCTAACTATTAGATGCCAGTTGTGCTCCATCCCACACTGCAGTTATGATTTAAAATGTGCTCAGGACAATGTCACCTTAGTTGGGAATCAGTGACTTACAAGGCCACAAGATAGTTTCCAAAGCGATGTGTTTGCTAAGCAGAAAGGCACATGCCTATTATCCGAACACTCAGGAAGCTGGTGCAGAAAGATGGCTTGAGGGAAGCTTGTATATACCATGTGTTTAAGGCCAGCCTGGGCAAGACTGTGCCAAAAAAAAAAAAAGAGACCAGTGAAAGGTCAAATGATAGGCCCTGTGGACAGCCACTCGTGTCTACTTTCAGTTCCCCTATTGCTCAGAAACTATTCTTTACAAATGTAAATTCAGAGGTCTGAAAGTACTGGTACTCTCTGAAATTAGTCCAGTGATGGAACAGAAATGCTACTGTCTACAAAAGATCCAGTTACAATAAAGGCCACTAGAAACCGTGGAGATGAAGAAAAAGCAAATTCTGCATACAAAAACTGGGTCTGGAGTTCAGTTGAAAGACTGCTTGCCTAACATGCACAAGGCCCTGGATTCCATCACTAGCATCACACAAACTGGGTGTTGTGGTCCACACTTATAATACCGGAATTCTCGGGAAGTGGAGGCAGGAGGACCAGGAGTTTCAGGTCATCTTGATCTACACATGAAGTCCAAGGCCCACCTGGGATACATGAGACCTTCCCATTAAAAATAAGTGAAAACATATTGTGTTCAATTAAAGTGATGCTGCAAGAAACTAATTATAGATGCAAATGTCTATATTGAGAAAAGCAAGGCACTTCAATTTTAAAACAGATGTACTTACTGTGTAAATTGGACTCAATGGGTTAAAAAAAATAATCTAACTGACATCTAAACTCCAGCCAGCTCATGTAGAAGGGAAATGACTAATCCCAGCCCCCTCTAGCCATCTTGTATCATCTAAGAATGGACACTAAGAAGCAGTAGTGAAAGGCACAGCCCAGGGTCTCAGGCTCAAAAGCCTAAAACATGACCACGGGAAAACAGAATGTGTCCCTCTCTCCCTATCTCACCACCACGTTACTGAACACTTGTTTTCCATTCTCTTTTACCCAGCACATCCCGTCAGGCTTCCAACACAAAATGGCACAACCACACTGAAAGGAAAAAGGTGTAAAAGTGGTAGAGTGCTTGCCTAGCATGCTCAAGGCCCTGGGTTCCAGCCCCAGCACTGCCCAAAGCAAAGACAGGCAACAACATGAATTTGAAGAGACAAAGAGCATCAAAGGCAAAGTCAGATGTCTGGGATGTTGGAATTCATTGAAAAGAACCCCACCAATCCTGAATTGTGCAGCCTGCAGAATTGTTGTTCAAAAGTAAAGCAGACACAAAGCCTTTCTCAGACTACTGAAACACCCTTAAGGAAGTTATCAGCTACAACGGAGGCCTGATTTTCAAGAGATGTTCCTAGAAATTCTTAGGCCTCTGTTTCTTGGCCACCACAAGACGAACTGCCTCCTCTTCCACACATGCCTGCCACCCTGATGTTTGACTTCTGCACAGGCCCAAAGTCAAGAGACAAGAACCACGGGCTGAATCTTCTGAAACCATGAGCTCAAACAAATGCTTCCTTCCTTATAAAAGGGGACCCGGAAGGAAAGTGATATAGGAAAGAAACATGGGTTTGCATAAAGAAGAGGAGAATATTCATGAGAGAATAAGTGATGGTCAAAGAATAAATTTGACTTTCTCTTACCATTCGACCAACCGCTAATAAATTATTCAAAATTGGGTCCTGGATTCTATCCCCAGTGCCAACAGAAATATTGCATTCGATTCCATGAGTCTCTATATACAATTAGGCATGTTTATGTATTAGTGAAATGAGTGGTGTTAATAATATAAGGTATGGGAGGGAAGAATCAGGACTACTTTAATAGCAGATACTTTTGCTGACTGTGATATTGAGTGTATCTTTGTGTAGTGTTGTTTGACAATGAACTTGGACACCCAATGTGGTGATGTATACCTATAAGCCCAGCATTTCAGAGATGGCAAGAGGATCAGGAGTTCAAGGGCAGCCTTGACTGTATAATGAATTCAAGGCCAATCTGGAATGAAGCGACTTTAGAAAGGACTTCTTCTGAGTTACAGTTTGAGGGGCTAGGGCCCACCATTGACAGCAGGTATCTCCTTAGTAACAGGAGCATAGAGCTGAGACTACTCCATTCCTCACATCGCAGTGGAACAAGAAGCAGTGGAAAGGTAATGTTGGCACTCTGCTTGCCTCTTTGCCCCTCTTCGTATCCACTCTAGTACTCCAGGTCATGACATGATATCTCAAACACTCCAAGTGGGCCTTCTCTCCTTGGTTAATCCTCTTAGAAAACCCCCTCACAGACACACCCACAGATAGGTCTCCTAGGTGAGTCTAAATCCAATTGTGTTAACGATGAAGATTAACCATCACATTTTGTTGCAAAAGCCAAAATAACAGCAAAAAGCAAAACACACACACACACAACAACAACAACAACAACCAAAAAAGAAGAGAAGGAAGAGGACAAAAAGCAGAAGGACTGAAGGGATGAGTCAGTGGGTAGGAACACTCACTGCACAAGCATGAGGATTTGATCAGATGCAGACACCCACATAAAAAGCCAGGCATGGCCCCTTGCTAATGCCAGCATTGTGTGGGGGTAGAGACAGGAGGATCACTGAGTCTTGTTGGTCAACAGCTTAGCTCCAAGCTCAGTAAGAAACCTTGTCTCAAAGGAATAAGACAGGGATGTAAGGTGTATAGGTTTTTCCACCCACCGCCACTCTTGTCCGGCAGCCGCGCCAGCCCCAAATAACACACAGAGACTCTGTATTTGATACAATGCTGTTGGCCCGGTTACTTGTTTCTTATCGGCTAGCTCTGTCTTTAATTATTAACCCATTTTTGTTGCTCTATGTATTTTTTTTTTACCAGGGAGCCGGCGGCATACTGCTTTTCCCGGGCTCTCCATCTTGACCCCTCCTCCCTACTTCCTATTTCCTCCTTGTCTCCTA